CACTGCAGAGGGTCCCCTGCTGTCCCCAGGCCCCCTTTAGGGCGCAGTGGGGCAGGATTAGCCCCCGTAGCCCCCCAGGAACAGGGATGTCTCAGCCCCAAAGCTCCTTGGTCCCCATGTGTCACTTGGGTGGTGCCACCACCCCGTGGGGTGCCCACGGCCATCCTGGGGGGCTGCCCCACAAGGCCACTGCACAGCCAGGGGTGTCCTTGATGTCCCCAGACTAGCTGGGAGGGGGACAGGGGACATCTTGCATCCTGCCCCCCACCACAGCCCCACACCTCCCACCCCAGCTGTGGGGAAGGCCACTGATGTCCCTAAAACTGGCATAGTGGGAAGGAGCTGGGAGGCTGGGATACACTGGGGAGCTGGGATTCACTGTTGGGGGGACACTGGGACACACCAGGGGGATCCAGGACATGCCAGGAGGGACCAGGGCACATCAGGGACACACTGGAGGGGAACTGGGACATGCCAGGGGGATCTGGGACACACCAAGAGTGGATTGGGACATGCTGAGGAGAGACTGGGAAACACTGGGGGACACTGGGACACATTGAGGAGGGACTGGAACACACTGGAGGGATCTGGAGTACGTGAGGGAACTGGGATGCACTGGTGGGGGAGGTACTGGGACACACCTGAGGGATCCAGGACATAGCAGGGGGAACCAGGACACATCAAGGGGGGGACGGGGACACACTGAAGGGATCTGGAACATGTTGGGGGATCTGGGACACACTGGGAAGGGACTGAAACACACTGGGTGGAACCAGGACGTGCCAGTGCATGACTGGGATAGACTGGGGGATCCAGGGCACTGGGGGGAACTGGGACACACTGGGGAGAGGACTGGGACACACTGAAGGGATCTGGAACATGCCAGGGGGGTTTGGAGGATTTGGAAGACACTGGGAGGGGACTGGGATATTTCGGGTGAGGACTGGGACGCACCAGAGACCTTCATAAGGGAAAAAAAACTGCCGGTAATCAGCCCAAATGCTGGCAGCGGGGGCGGGGAAGGGTCTGCCCTTCCCAAAGCAGCACCACAGGAAATGGGCAGCCGGGGTTGGGAGGGGGGTCCCGGCGGGCAGCCCCACTGCCCCCACCATCCTGCTG